TTTAAACTAACTTTATTTCAGTTAGTTGCCAAGGCAACATGTCTCAAGTTTTTACATCTAATATTTATATTTGATTCTATTTCAGCTTTATTTCATTTAGCAAAATTATTATTATTATTATTAAAATTAAATGTATTTGAACACCCTATTTTATGGACTGTGGAGTGGAGCACAAGAAAGGTTCAAATGTAGCAAAATATTAAAAGGAAATACTGAACAAAAACAAAGTTCAAAAAAAGATTTGAAAGTTTATGTTCAATAAAAAAATATAAAACTAAATCTAGACTCACTTTATTAAAAATCTTGTCGATGAGTCAACCGAATGCTTAATGACTATTAGTATTACAGTTTTTACTATAACCAGGCTTTTGAACTAAAATTTCAAAACCATAACGCCATTTTTCAAAAAGCACTCCCATTTTGCTGAACTATAAACACTATTCCCCTGCCTTAACACATGAGTCAGATTTGGTGAACTGTTACTGCAAGATAATACGTTTAAGGTTTTCTTTATATTTTATTTAATTTGGTTTACTACAATAACTAAAACTGAAACTAAAATAAAAAATTTATAACATTAAAAACAATGAAAATGACAAAAACAAAATTACTAAAGCTTTAAAATTAAAACAGAATAAATAAAAATAAAAGCTAATTTATAATATAAACTGTAATAGTATCACAGTGATACTAAAAAAAGAAATTAATACTTTTATTGATCAAGGACACATTAAATTGATCAAAAGTGCCAGTAAATACATTTATAATGTTAGAAAATATTTCTATTTCAAATAAATGCTGTTCTTCTGAACTTTCTATTCATCTGTGAATCCTGAAAAATAAAATGCATCACAGTTTCCACAAAAATATTGTGCAGCACAACTGTTTTCAACATTGCTAATAATCAGAAATGTTTCTTGAGCAGCAAATCAGCATATTAGAATGATTTCTGAAGATCATGTGACACTGAAGACTGGAGTAATGATGCTGAAAATACAGCTGCGCATCACAGAAATACATTACACTTTAACAGATATTCACATAGAAAACAGCTGTTTTAGATTGTAATAATATTTCACAATTTTTACAGTATTTTTGATCAAACAAACGCATCCTTGATCAGCAGAAGAGACTTCTTTAAAAAATATGAAGAAAATTGTGTTGATTTTTAAATGGTAGTGTGTAATGTTTTGTAAATTATTATTCATATATGAGACTACATGTGCATAAGGTCATGAACTCCATTACCCATGTTCCCCCTCAGCAGGCCCTTGGTGACCTTTGACCAGAGGATGTAGTCAGGTTTGGGCGTCTGCGGTGGAGAGGAGCAGGGTTTGGGAATGAAGAAGGAGGGTGTGAGCGAGAGCAGCGCAGACGCAGGGATGGAGTAACAGTCTCTCTCTCGCAGCCGGAGTCTCTCAGCATACGTCAGGTGAGAACATGAGATCAGATACCTGCAGGAGCAAACACGGATTACATCACTTCAGCTAAATATACAGTATATATATATACATACACACATAATTTATACAATTGTATTAAATGTATGTCGAATAAATATATATTTGAAAGATTAAATATGTAAAATATATATTAATTACTTTTTAATTTTGTGTGTGTGTGTATATATATATATATATATATATATATATATAACTTTAGGAAAATATATAGCAACTACATAATTATAATTCTTAAAAATATTTTTAAAAATATACAATTATAAAAAACAACTAAATATTGTAATTATATATGTGTGTATGTGTGTGTATATATATATATATATATATATA